CTCCTGTAAAACTCGCCCGGTTTCTTTCCCGGGTGTAGGTTTAGGCGACAGTCATACTTTGCGACTAGGAAGGCGACCTGACGTTCTAGGAGAACATAAGCCAAAGGAATAGATAGGGACCGATCAATTCTGATTCTTATTCGAAAGTGTAGCGCTGTCTGGAGTCCTCGAAGGTGTTCATACGTCCGCGAAAGCGCAGGCAGACGTCAAAATGGCGCGCGATTCGCGTACGGTTAGCGCCAATCGCAAGCTTCGCGCGCTTACGCAATCGATGTTAACCACGCGATTCGCCCGAACCGATCAGTGGCGCGATCGCGATGTACGAACTCGGCCTTAGACTGATATCCGGGCACCACGACACAACCGCGGGTTTTGCACGAACTACACGCAGCTATAGGGGTTAGTCCGAATCTCGTGAGTGACATCATCGTAAGTGCGAATCTAACTGTGTGACAGCGCCATACAGCACAACAATTTCGGTGGCCCCGCCGTGCAGCACAACAATTTCATGTCCATCGTAGTGAAGCGGGCTCCAAATCTCCGGTAAGACCGCGTTCAGACTTCGCGATGGAGCGATTGCGTCGCTTGAGTCGAACGACCGAATCGCCTGACTCAGGCGATCCAATCGCTTGAGTCGTACGACCGCTTGAGCGGTGCAGAAGTGCGTAATAGCAGAATACAAATCCGGAAATATGCAGACTGTTGATTTATGAGGAGAGTGATGGTTAAGGATGTGGATGTGGGTAGTCAAGGATGTGCATGGGGGGTATTGATCGGTGAGGACGCATACGTAGGTATCGATCGCTTTTCTCCGCAGCGGAATTTGTGCATTGGGGCGGATAATGAATCTTATAATTTTCATCCGAAGTGGCTCTTTTCGACAACTTCGCCGATTTGAGCCATTTCACGGCATTTTTGCTTCATCTCCGGCCGGGTGTGTCGTTAGGTCCGCCTGGCCGGAAAACTCGTCCAAAGGGACCCTTTTTGCCGGTTTTTTCGCCAAGTGTGTCGTTAGGTCCGCTCGTAGCCCCTCCCCACGCCGCACCGCTCCGCCGCGAGCGACGGCCGCGCGACGAGCAGGAAAACTCGTCCGAAAGGCGGACAACTCGTCCAACGCCGGTTTTTTCGCGGAAACGCCCTTTGTGGAGGTGCAGGGGAGCAATCAACGTCCGCGTAAGCAGGGAGGAGCCGGCACAACTCGATCCACCTGCCCCGCAAGCAGGAACCCTGTCCATGCCCATAGAACAAAACTCGCTCACTGCGCCGTTTTTCGCGAAAACGCTTTTTCAGTGTACCGGAGTGGTTAGTTTCCCCACACGTAGCGCACCGGGTTTGACTACAGGATGAGGGGCGGATTGGAGAGAGTCAGAGTCACGAATATTGCGAAATTTCTCAAAAAATCGAACTTTTCAAAAAATCCGGATTTTCGGAGTGGGCGGAGCCTCTCGTAGGAGGGCGGAGCCTGTATTGGGGCTCTATTCTGTCTGTGCAGAACGCGGACCGCTTGGCGACGACACCTTGCCACGTAGTGCCCCACTCCGCCGACTAGGTCGCAGCAACACGTTGGGACGAGTTTTCCGCGGTGGACGGTGCTCGGCTATCGTCACGGCGACCGAATTGTAACGCTTCCCCGCAACCTAAAAAGAACGCGGTTTCCCGCGAAACAAACCGTGAGGTTTGGACGAAGTTAATACGCCATATATATAGTCGGACGACACGTTTTCAGGGCTCGTCGCGCGGGGCAAACTCGCTCGCCGAGCCGGAAGACGGCAGCCTGCGGCGTCGCGGGAGGGCTACGAGCGGACCTACGACCACGTTGGCCCGACGAAAAAACCGGCAAAGGGTCCCTTTGGAAACGAGCTCTCTCTCCCGACTAACCACAAACACAGCCGGCCCGACGATTGAAGCCAAAAACTGTCCGGAAATGGTCTCAAATCGGCGAAGTGTCGAAAAAAGCAGCCACTTCGGCCAAGATTGAAACTATATATAAAAGATCATAGTCCGCAAGCCCCCAATGAAAATTCGCTGCGGAGAAAACACGCGAATCCCGAATAACATAACGTATGCGTCCTCACCGAAACGACGTCAATACCCCCATGCACATCCTTGACTACCCACATCCACATCCTTAACCATCACTCTCCTCATAAATCAACAGTCTGCATATTTCCGGATTTGTATTCTGCTATTACGCACTTCTGCACCGCTCAAGCGGTCGTACGCTAACGACTTCAAGCGATTCGGGACATCGACACTGTGTCAGATACCGATTCCCGATTCGTTCGAACTAGAGCGACGCGAACGCTCGCTCCATCCAAAGTCTGAACGCGGTCTAGGCAGAGTCGGTCAGACTTTCGCAAGGAGTGGCGCCGCCTCGGCGCGATCGATGATCCTTTCCTCACCTCATCTTCCTGGATACGCATCGATCCGAACGCGACTAAACGCACACCGCACGTCGCGAAACTCTGGACAAATGGCGCAACGCAGGGATAGGCGCCGACGTTCGCACACACACACGAAAAGAAACCCCGTGTAAACGGCGACTATTGGGATGACGGCCCTTGTATTTTCTGTGAAGGGCGGTCTGTCATCCTTTTGTGGCGGAGATTTCCGGACATGAGGCGTTTCTTCCTTCAACTGTCACTCGAGCTACTGATGAAAGGAAGGGGCACATATCCACGTTATTCTGGCGTTAACGTGGTTGGGGGTGTTACTACGCGGCAGCACCTCTGTGTCCCTCTTCTTAACCAAGGCTCAGGCTCAGTGGAGACTTCGCAGGAATGTCATTCGGGCACACTTGTGAAAAATACAGAAAAATAACAAAAAACCAATAAAAGACCAATAGATCAGAAGAGAAACACAAGGGAAACTGTAACAGGCGAATGGTCCCACAATAGCGCCATATTTTGTCGTGTTCAACTACAGAAGGATGATTTGTAAGCGCAAATATTGACTTCTGAGCGTGAATAACGCGAACAGTAGCTAGTACCGAGCACGATTTAATGGTTGAAACTGAAACAAAAGCAAAACGTGCGCTTTTTCTTCGCGCGCTATAGCGGAAATTACGGTAGTGGTCAGTAGTCCGCAATCGCACGTTTTCGTAGGATTCAGCGCAATTCTCGCCTTGTTTTTACTTGATATTGCGCCATCGCTTGTCTAGACTTGGGTGAGTTCTATATGAGCTTTATACTGATTTAGGTTTTCTGTTTTGTTGCGAAGTACACCACCGAGGTATCATTACAAAGCTTGTTCATATGGAACAAAGATAATTCGGTGACCGCACTTTCTAAAAATTGCCTTTTGTATGTAATCCTTTCTGTTAAGGGCTTTCTATTCAATAACTTCTTCATTAAGTTCTTTAGCTTGCGGAAATGAGGCCGTTGTCGTTGAAAGGTCACGATCGTGCTCTCACGCGTGTGCGCTTCAATCGTGAAGGAGATCTACTTATAACTGCAGCCAAAAACAAACAGCCATGCTTGTGGTACACAGAGAATGGCGAACGTATTGGTAGGTCTGCTCATTTGCTTTTTTTATTCATTTTACCTCGTGTAGGTCTGCTCATTTCCTTTCTTTATTCATGTTACCTCGTATTTCCTGTGCTTTCACCTCAAGGTCATCGCACAAAATGGTTTCGCAACAGGGTCTTTGACTTCACAACGGTACTTGTCAACCTTTGCTCAATAGACGCAATACAATTTTCGCGATTGTCAGAGTACAGAGGGGCTTTTATGATAGAACGGTTAATAATAAGTGTGCTGAAAGGGTGAAGGTTCAACTTCTTGCGGGTTTAGTTTCAGAAGTAGCGTTGCGCAACGACGGCGCACAGAAAGATAAATTTACTCCTCTCTACTCGCTAAGGATGGTTGACTTACGACTTATCATGGAACCTTGGGTACAGATTCCTAGTGTGTCGGCAGTGCTCGGAATGCTGTTTGCAAAGATTATCATCAATCTACCTGATTCTCACAAACGAGTTATGAGCGGGCAAAGACACTTAAACGAGTTATGAGCGGGCAAAGACACTTAAACGAGTTATGAGCGGGCAAAGACACTTGTTAAAAAACGTCCTCAGGTTGCCTGTGGTGTGCGCTGCCCGATGCAGACAGCAAATATCAGCCAAACGGAAGCAATATTAGTGTTCAGCGATCGAACTGCCCCTAGGACAAATTTCTAGTCAAATCGAAGTTTCCACTGGAACTTCGAAAAGTGATCTCCAATAACAAATTTGTGTCTACTGCTCGTCACTGCAGAGCTCATAATCTGTTTTGCAACGTTTTTCCAGGGACAAAAGGAAAAAACCAGACTTTCTGACCTTAGATGACTGATGTGGCTTCAGCGGAAGTATTGCTATATCATAGGCTACAATGACTTCAGCGAGAAGTACGGACACTTCTCTTATATTTGAGGAAAAGGCACAGGCTGAAGGCAATTCAGCAGCAGTGCGACGATTCGGTATATGACCTGTCACTTCAGGCATGTTTCCAGTCCACCCTGATAAAATGCTCACTCAAAAGAACCCGAGAAATTAGGAAAAGAGGCGTTTCTAGAAAATAAATATAGCAGTTCGTGCTGAGGGTAATGGAGGTCCGCAACCCATCAGTTGGCCGGCTAGATGCTTACCACTGCGCCATTGCAACCATTTGGTACGTAAGTGGAAACTCCCCTTATTTGCTACCACTGTATCCCACCACTGCAAACTTTGAAAGTTCTTATTTCGCCTCCATTCATCCTCACAGGATTTCATCCTTCATTCATCCTCCAGGGGCGTTTTGGTTTTTTGATTTCTCAACAGCTTTACCAGCTCCAGCAATATACCTAGAATTTCTATTCAAAGTTACATAGTAACTTAACAACTTTTCTCTTTATCTGTCATCTATATTCATGAGCAATATGTAACTTTGAATAGCAATATACCTAGATTTCTATTCAAAGTTACATAGTAATTTAACAACTTTTCTCTTTAAGTGTCATCTATAGCTATATTTATCTGTCAAAGGGGTTTCAGCCAGTTAGCTCTGAAGATGTTTCAGTTTTCGTAATGATACCAGTGGAAAAGAAAGTGTTGTGACAGCGGCTGTATGTGCACTGGCACTGCTACAATAAGTTGGCTAATTTTAATTCGGCATTCCGGAAACGCAAAACCCTTTTTGCGCACAAGAATTGATTGATCCTCCTCGAGGCTCATTCTCTTGGATCGGGCGGAAATTCTTACTCCTTGGCTTACAATCACATATCTTTCAAATAACCCATCTTATGCACCTTATCGGAACAGCGCCCGGGCGATATTTCGTTAAGGTGGTGCAATCGAAAGAAGTCCTTGGGCAATAGCAGTCCATCACGTGTTAGACAGCGTTCAGACTTCGCGACGGCAGCGCTTCGGTCGCGCGTTCAACGCGATCGATGCGCATGCTTTCAACTGCATCGATCGCGTCGAACGCGCGACCGAAACGCTGCCGTCGCGAAGTCTGAACGCTGCCTTAGGAGAGTCATCTGATAACATATCGCACTGTCAAATATGAGATGTGCATTACACGTTGAGGGCGAACCTGAAAGTCCGTGTAATTATTCCTACTTCCTTCCGATAGCGGCAACGCTTATGCTTTAAGGGCGTCAAAGCGAGAGATGATATCTGCTAGATAATCTCACTTTTTTGTAGGTTGCTTGTTTTTACTGTTTAATTGTTTGCTTCAAGGAACCTACGACGGCCACAATGGTGTAGTATGGGACGTAGATGTGTCATGGGATACCACTCGACTGGGAACAGCATCCGGAGATAATTCGATCAAGGTATTGTGTTTTCATTTCTTCTAATTCTACTTTGTCATTATCTTATAATCCGTCTCTCCCAATCAGTGTTATTCAGTTCTGGGACTGTGAGACTGGAACGGTACTGAATACCATCAACACTCCGACTCCCGCGAAATCTGTCAACATTTCCTTTTCGGGTGGGTTGAAGAGCTTAATTTGTTTATTCCAACATTAGGAAAGTACAGGGAAAATGTTGATAAGTCTATAGAATTAAAGGCAGAGTCCGCGTTCAAAAGGTTGGCTATGCGCCTCAGACAGTAATGACAAGGTAGCAATTCAGTAGTGAAGAAAAAACAGCAGGAAAAAATCATGGGAGATGCCCATTATAGAATCCCATGCCGAAATTGAGCTGCCATATTCAAAGAAAGCGTAGGAATGTCAAATGGAGGCAGGCTCTGCTTTTAATTGAATAGAAGCAGTTTGGTTTGATGCCAAGTAGCATCAGGGATGCTTCGCTAAGGAGGCGAAGCGTTGCCTATCCGTTAATTCCATTCTTCCAGGCCATTTACTCGCCTACACCACACAGAAGATGACAAAAAATCCTTCGGTATTGTGCGTAGTCGACACAAGAGACCGACCAAAAACAAATTACAGCTGACTGTCCACTGTTTCGCACTCATTTTGAGTTCGATAACTCAGCTACGACATGTGTTTTTAGCGGAGCTACCGATTGCGTAAGTTTCAAGTTTGTGGTGTTTTTGTCAGACTCTTTCAAAAATGGTGAAGGTGGTGTTGTGGCAAGCGCGTGGTCCGGAAGTCATTGGCTTCCCTTTAGGTCATTTAAGGCTACTACCCCGGAATGGGTAAATTGGTACCAGATTCGTCTGTGTTGTTATATAGACCTTGTCGCATTCACTACGATTCTGAGTGGATATAAAATGCATGCCGCATCTCAAAAAGAGGTTGATCAACCGAATTAGACGGGGCTTGGCGAAAGCCTTTTTTGAATCTTCTTCATGAATCTCTGAGAGCTTCGTTTACGAATTGGCTCACAATATTTCGACTCGCTCATCGGTTCCGTGTGGTGAGGGGTTAGGACCTAGTTTCTTGGCCAGCGCCTCGACCCTGTTATGGCAATGTCATGTGTTTCATGCGATAGCCGCCGCAATTTGACCACTTACATTTGTATAGTGACATATCATGTGAACAATTCAGTATACCATTTTTAGGTCACTGTTGGATTTGAAAATGGACACATATTCCAGTATGATCTGAAAACTAAAGATGAACCATGTTTGTCTAATGAGAAGGCTCATAGGGTAAGGTTTGTCAACAATCTTTTCCTCATGATGTGTTACCTTCACTTATATTGGAAGTTAAGTACGCCATTACTGACCTACAATTGTCGCCAGATGGGGCTTTCGTTATTTCATCATCAAAAGACAAAACGGCTGCATTACTCGACGTGTATACTTTGGACAATCTGAAACAGTACCGGTTGGTTTGATAGTCGTGCAGATTTCCTTAGCTTAAGGGGAAAAGTCGAACATTTTGATTCCTCCTGCTACGCTTCAACGAAGTAGAGAACTGATTTAGTAACATTCCAGCTCTGAACGTCCAGTTAACTCCGCCTGTATATCACCGATTCGTGATCATATCTGTCTTGGAGGAGGAGAAGACGCTATGCAAGTAACGCAAACAGCTGTGTCTGCTGGTCATTTCGAGGCGAAGCTCTATCACATGGTGTTTGAAGAAGAATTCGCTAGGTTTAAAGTCAGTTTTTTTGGCGTTATGAATAGTCCCGTACTTTTTCTTTATTTACTTTTGAATTTGGGATTTTGCGAATTACGGAGTGTGAGCTAAGTGCAATATAGTGTGGTATTAGATTATTAGTCACAATTGAGCCATTACGACTCCAAAATCCGGAAAGATTTTTCGGTGATTTGTTGCCAACAGAGAGTTTGGTGCGTTGATCACGAATTACGCTGTGAGGATGAGTTCGGGGTCAGGGTTTGCCCATTCTACAGGGCTCGGCTCTACAGAGCGCCTAAAGATGCTGGCGCAGAGAAAAGTATGTAATATTCGTGTTCGTGTTTAATAGTACACGTCCTACCGTTGGGAAAAATTTCAAAAACACATCTCTTTCGGAATTTCCTTCTCTAATGTGACCATACATCTTTTCCTCACTCTACTTACTTTCTTATCGGCTGACCGACTTTTACCAAGCTTTAACTCTTCTTTTCCGAAATATTCCAGGAATTCCTTCACTTGTTCTCCCCAAAAACTGGGGTGGGGGGGAGGGTGAGGGGAGGGTATGCGACACAGGCAACAAGGGAAAGCCGAGAAAAGTCTAATCGAAAGATGTTTCTCGATGGCAGATAAGATCTACCTCACTCCAGTGAACAGATACCATCCCCCTCCTCCCAGAGGATTTTAATCGTACGACTTGCCTTGGTTGTAATATTGTTATAGTCAAAAAGCGGCGCTCTGAAAAAAGTTTATGATCTTCGATCACC